CTGTGCGCCAGGACTGGGCTGCACCCTCCTCGTGGATCTCCTTGGGTAACCTCACTGCAGCGCTCTGAGGCAGGTGCCTTTTCAGGTGGGGTACAGCTAAGGACTCAGAAATGAAAGAACCACTTTCTTCACTTGATTAAGGAGTTGTGGGGCCTGAGGGACTAGGAGAAATAAGATGCAGAGAGGGATTTTAAGATGAGGGAATAACAACGAAGACTAAGAGGGAGGGAGGGTCATGGCAAGGGCAAGGTGACCAGAGGCCAAAAAGAGCTTTACGGTGGAGTTAGGAAATAGGACACAGCTTTGCCAGAGGTTGTCTGCTGCCACTGAAAGTTTCCCAGAGTGGGGTCTTGTGTTACTAATGTTCACTTCTCCCCGTGCCCAAGGCCGTGATTTCTCCAAAGGTCTCCTGTACCTCTGTCCAGGCGACTTCTCTGAGTTGGGACTCCAAGCAGAGTGGATGTCAGGGATGACTTTGGAAGGGACAGAGAAAAAAAGCTGTAAACTCTTAAACTTGTGGGAGTTGTGGGTGGAGGAGGGAGAGAAAGTCCTTGGGTAAGAGGGTGCCTGTGGCCACAACACACATGCTTTGAGGTGTCCTAGGAGGGGTTGCATTTCTTTCTTTCTTTTTTTTCCCCTGACTATTAAAAAAAAAAAAAAAAAAAAAGATTCACTGTGAAAGCAGAAAAAAGTTGTAGTATAAAAGACCTTAACAAGGGTGTAGGTAAATTGGAATCCTTATCCACTGCTGATGGGAATGTAAAATGCTGTAGCCACTTTCGAAAAACAGCCAGGTAATTTTCATTAATTTTTTTAAAGTTGTGTTTTATTCATTCACGCTGGACAACTATTGTTGTGTTGACTGTTGTTGTTGGTTGGTTTTTTGTTGTTGTTGTTGTTTCTTAGGAGAAGGGAGGGAGAAAGAGGGGGAGAGAAACATGAATGTGTGGTTGCAACTCACACACCCCCTACCAGGGACCTGGCCTGCAACCCAGGCATGTGCCCTGCACTGGGAATCAAACCGGTGACCTTTTGGTTCACAGGCAGCACTCAGTCCACTGAGCCACACCAGCCAGGGCTAATTTTTTTATTTAAAAAAAATACTGATTTTAAAGAGAGAGAGAAACATAGGTTTCCATTTGTTGTTCCATTTATGTATATATTCATTGGTTGCTTCTTATATATGCCCTGACCAGAGATGGAACCCACAACCTTCAACTATCAGGACAATGCCCTAACAACTAAGCTACCCATTTAGGGCAGCTAAGTAATTTTTTTGTTTTTTTAAGCTAAGTGTTAAGAGTGAATGTATCACCCAGCAGTTCCACTCCTAGCTACATACCTAAGAGAATTGAAAACATTTATCCATGCAAAAACTTATACTTGCTATTTTCATAATAACCAAAAAGTAGGAATGACTCAAATGTTCAGCAATTGATGAATAGATAAACAGAGTATAGTCTGTGTACAGAGTGTAATAGTATTTAGTCATGAAAAGGAAATAATGGTACATGTTACAATGTGAATGACCCTCAGAAACATTGTGCTCAGGTGCTGGCTGGGTGGCCCTGTTGGCTGGAGTGTCGTTCCTTATGCCATAAGGTTGCGGATTTGATTCCCAGTCAGGGCACATACCTAAGTTGCAGGTTCGATTCCCAGTTAGGGTGCATAGAGAGACAATCGACTGATGTTTCTCTCTCTCTCTCTCTCTCTCTCTCTTTCTCTCTCTCTCTCCCTTTTTCTCTCTCTAAAATCAATAAACATATCCTCAGATGAGGATTACAAATACATGTATTTAAAAAATATTGTGCTCAGTAAAAGAATCCAGACATAAAAGGTCACCATGTTACGTGATGCCATTTAGATGAAGTGCCCAGAATAGGCACAGAACAGACACAGAGAGCAGATAAGTGCTTTCCCTTCCAAGGGAGGAAGGGAAATGGAGAGTGACTGCTCTCCAAGGTATGGGATTTCTTTTTGAGATGATGAAAATATTCTGGAATTAAGTTTTGATGATAGTTGTATAACCTTGTAAAATATACATTAAGAGGGTGAAGTTTATTTTTTATGTTATGTTATTATTTTTTTTTTACATCAATGACTGAACTCAGGGGATTGACAGATTCAAGCCATCACTGCAATGAAGTTTATGATATATTAAATACATGAATAAGTCTTTAAGTAGGAAAAGGTTATGGGGGAGGTACTTCATAGCTTCACACCATAGAGGAATCCACCCCTTACTTAGTATAATATTCTCAAGGTTCAACCATGTTTTAACATGAATCAGTACTTTATTCCTATTTACTGGACATAATATTCCATTTTATGTCTATACAGCATTTTGTTCATTTGTTGATGGACATTTGGGTTGTTTCTGCGTTTTGGCTATTACGACTAATGCTCTGTGAACATTTGTATACAAGGTTTTTGTTCAGTTTTGTTTTAAATTTTATTTATTTTTAGTGAGGGGGAAGGGAGGGAGAAAGAGTGGGAGAGAAACATCAAATGTTGTTGCCTGTCATGTGCCACAACTGGAGACCTGGCCCACAACCCAGGCATGTGCCCTGACCAAGAATTGAACAGGCGACCCCTCGGTTCACAGGCCGGCACTCAATCGACTGAGCCACGCCAGCCAGGGCTGTATACAAGGTTTTGTGTGGATATATGTGGCTTCATTTTTTATTTGAATGTATTCCTAGTAGTAAATTGCTAGGTCACATCGTGCTTCTATGTTTAACCTTTTGAGTAACTGCTAGACTATTTTCCATAGTGATGGCACCATCTTACATTCCCTTCCTATAATTCCAATTCCCATTATGAAGGTTCTAACCTCTCTACACATGTGCTAACACTTATATTCTATCTTTGTGATCATAGCCATCCTGGCAGGTGTAAGGTGGTATCTCATTGTGGTTTTGATTTGCATTTCTCTGGTAGCATCTTTTCGTGTGCTTTTTGGCCATCTGTATATCTTTTTTGAAGAAATGTCTCATCAAATCCTTTGCTTATTCTTTAATTGGATTATTTATATTTTTCCTATGGAGCTGTTTAAGATACAGTCACCTTATCAGGTATATAATTTGGAAATATTTCTCCCATTCTGTGGGTTTGCCTTTTCACTTTCTTGATGGTGGCCTTCAAGTATCAAAAGTTTTTAATTTTGATGAAGTCCAGCTTATCTGTTCTATCTTTTGTCACTCATCTAAGAAGGCTTCACATTATTTTTAAGTGTATGTGGAACATTGACAAAAATTAACCATATAGTGATCCACAAACCAAGTCTCAGTATATTTTGAAGGGTTGAGATTGACCAAAGCACATTTTCTGAGCCCAACAGACTTAATCTGGAAATCAGTAATAAAAATAACTAAAAAACTGATTCCATATAACCTATGGTTCGGGAAAAAACCACAACAGAAATTAGATAATGATAAATAAATCATAATGAAGATGCAATATCAAACTTGTGGGTGAGCAGCTAAAGCTCTATTTAGAGGGAAATTTATATTCTTAAAATACATATACAATTGACCCTTGAACAATGCTGGGGTACAGATAATGTATTATAGAATTGTACACCTGAAAACTACATAACTTTATTAACTAGTATCACACCAATAAATTTTGTATGTTATATGAAATATATAAGAGTAAGCTAAATAAAATGTTAAGAAAATCATAAGGAAGAGAAAAATACATTTATAGCATTTATTGAAAAAATCCATACATCCCTGGCTGGTGTGGCTCAGTGGATTGAGTGCCAGCTCGTGAACCAGAAAGTAGCAAGTTCAACTCCAGGTCCGGGCACATGCCTAGGTTGTAGGCCAGGTCCCCATTAAGGGGTGTGTGAGAAGCAACTGATGGATATTTCTCTCCCTCTCTTTCTCCCTCCTTCCTTCCCCTCTCTCTAAAAATAAATAAATAAAATCTTAGAAAAATGAAAAAAAATCCTCGTACAAATGGATCCACTCACTTCAAACTTGGGTTGTTCAAGAGTCAGCTGTGTAAGAAAGGAAGAAAGGCTGAAAGCCAATTATCTCAGAAGCTACAAAATAATTAGCAAGTGCAGTAGGGAGTGATCACATGACTACCTGGAGAGTGTGTGTGGGAGAGGAAGGAGACCCAGCTCCCCGTGGGAGGAGTGCACCTTAAGCAGGCTGGCCATAGGGTCTGGCTGCCTGGGTGGTAAACTCATCCATCCTTTCATTGTTTGGGAAACTGGGCAGATGTTTTCCTCCTCTGGGTCTGTTTTCATATCTGTAAATTGGAAAGAAAAGCTCTCACCTCCTGGGTTTGTTGTGAGTGTTCTTTTTCTTTTTTTTAATCCTCACCTGAGGACATTTTTTCATTGCTTTTAGAGAGAGAGGAAGGGAGGAAGACAAACACCAATGTGGGAGAGAAACATGATTGTTTGCCTTCTCGTATGTGCCCCAATCAGGGATTGAACCTGCAGCCTGAGTATGCGCCCTGGCTGGGGATCAACCTGAGACCTTTCAGTCCATGAGACAACACTCCAACCAACTGAGCCACACTAGCCAGAGCTGTTGTGAGTTTAGTTTTGTTTTGTTCTGTTTAGATTTGATTGATTGATTGATTTATATTTAGAAAGAAGGGAACTGAGGGAGAAACATCACTGTGTGGTTGCCTCTTGCGAGCCTCCTACTGGGAACCTGGCCGGCAACCCAGACATGTGCCCTGACTGGGAATCGCACCATCAACTCTTTGGTTCGCAGGTTGGCACTCGATCCACTGAACCACGCCAGTCAGGGCTGTTGTGAGTTTAAATGGGTTACTACATGCGAGCATTGGGAAGGTGCTTACCACCAAGTGGGTGCTATCCTGATTAGTCTGAGGATCTGTTTCTCTGTGAGAGTGAGTCACATCTCACAGGCCCCAGGCCAGCATGTGCCCCACTCCACAGGGGTGAATCAGCGTCCTGGGTTCCAGAGTGATAACGTTTGGATCTTTCTGCTCACCCAGATCCAGGGCTCACTGGAGTGCCGCTGCCTGATGGCCACTCACCAGGCCCCCAGGAGCCGAGTGCCCTGGGACCAGGATGGCTTCCTGCAAGTGAAGATGGAGGATGAGGAGGCCAGCCTCTCCCAGGTCCAGGAATGTGGCCTTGGCAACATGGTCCACCCCGAGGCTGCTCGTCTGCTCTTCCGGCACTTCCACTATGAGGAGGCATCCAACCCGCATGAGACCCTGGCCCAACTCCACAAGCTCTGCTACCAATGGCTGCAGCCCGAGGTGCACTCCAAGGAGCAGATGCTGGACTTGCTGGTGCTGGAGCAGTTCCTGGACATGCTGCCCCCTAAGATCCAGGCCTGGGTGGGGGCCCAGTGCCCCAAGAGCGGCAAGGAGGCCGCCATGCTGGTAGAGGATCTGTCTCAGGCACTGAGCAAGAGAGGTGAGGGGCAGTGAGGGGCAGGTGTTTGCAGGACACCGTAGGCAGGGTCTGGGCAGGAACAGGGGAGGACAGGGCAGGCTTGGGGTCCCTCAGCACTTGTCCTCCCATTTATAATTCACTCATATCTCACACTGTGCTAAGCACGTCTGTTTTTATGACTAATGACCCAACACCCAGATCAGAGTGACTGAAGCAAAGTTAGGAGGCCTCAGGACTGTGTCTGGGAGTCGGTCAATGGCATCAGGATTCTTTTTTAATCGTTCTGTTTTTCATTTGGTTTTTCTTGTGATAGCTTCATTCTTAAGTCATTTCTTTCTCCAGGGGAGACAAAACTGGCCCAGCAGCTCCAGGGGGAGAACAGAGAAAGGTCCCCATGCTGAGCCCTGTGAATTGTTTGGGGCCTTATGCTTGTCTTTGACTGACCAGACCCACAGAATGACATGAGCAAGGGAAGCTCCTCAGAGGAAAACTAGGCTCTGATACCAGATGAGGGGCTGAGTCCCTAGGGTGTGGGTGGGGGAAAGAAACACCAGGTGTCCCTGTGCGCTCCCTCTGAGCCTCCTCCCACTCCCCTTGTCGGCCTCCAGGGTCTGAGTGATCAGACCTGCCCTGGGCCTGAGTGGGCCAGAGCAGGAAGCGAAGACTCCTCCCGGAAGGGGCCAGCCCCACCAGAAGATAGCAGATGGTGGGGTGAGCATGCCAGACACTCAGGAGGAGGTGTGGCCTGGGTAGGAGGAACACAGAGTTTGTACATAGAAGGATCATCAAGGCCTGGTAGGTGCAGCCACTGCTCTGACTCCTGGCTGTGTGACTCTCTTGTGCCTCAGTTTCCCTGTCAGTAAAATGGATATTGCGGTTGTAATACCTATTTCAATGTCACTGAGCTGTATTAAATACACGTGAACTGTAGTTGCCAGGATAATTTATTCAGCTCCTTGAAAAACAGACATTTCTGGAAGAAGTTGGTCAGGTACCCTCCCTTGGCCCCATTGGCTATGCCCAGGCCGATGCCAGAGGCAAGGCCTCCGGAGAGAATGGCCCCATCCTCTGCAGGGTCGAAAAAATGCAAAATGGGCCTGAAAGGATGAGAGAGAGAGCCAGCAGTCCAGGCAGAGAGAGGTGGGGCAAAGGTCCCATGTTGTATGTGGACCAGTGCATTCTGGGAAGGGCAGATTCTGGAATAAAAGAAGGAGGCAGAGGGTGGGGGGGTTGGCAGGGAACCCAGCACTTGGCCAGCAGGGTTGGGGGAGCTGAGGGGACGTCTGCAGGATTCAAGAACAAGATACTAGAGCCGAAACCCCAGCTTAGCCACTAGCTAACTGTGTGACCTTGTACAAGTTACTCAGCCTCTCTGAGCTTATGTGATCTTGTACTATTTACTCAAGACTTTCCCTCAGCTGGGCCTCAGTTTCCCTGTCTGAACTGCAGAGTGAAGCCGAAACAAGGCAGTGGACGTTACGTACTGCACCTGGAGCCTAATAATGGCCAGCAGCCCGAGGAGGCGAGCAGTGTATTCATCCTCTCTTACAGATGGGGAAACTGAGGCCAGACGAGGGCAAGATCGCCCCAGGCCCAGGAGCCATCCAGCGGCAGCGCTGGGGCCCCACTATGGACTCAGTGTAGTTACACTGTTCCTCCTTCCTGTGATCTGCCCAGGGACCAATGCGCTGTGCACTCATCAAGCATAGGTTGGGGTAGGTGTACCTCCACTGCAAACACAACCCAATCTCTATCTGTCCGTAACCCTGCTCTGCCCGCACAGTACTATACAGAGACTGGGCCGCAGGCCTCTGGGTATGGAGAGGCCAGGCGGGCACATCACACCCTTACAGCAGCAGTTGTCCACTTGGGTTCGATGTCGAGTTGACTGGAGGAAATTTCACAGTCACTGGCATCGGGGGTTGATCCCTCATCCAGCCAGAGCACCTTCAGACTCACCCAGACCCAGAGGCTAGGTGCTGAGTGCGAGGGGCACCGAGGCCATCGGGGGGGACATGAACAACAATGGCGAGGAGAGATCCCTCCCATGTTCACTGTCTCACTCTCACTGTCTTTCAAATCAGTTCATTTGAGCCCAAATCAGGAGCCCTAAAGAATGGAATTTGGGAGTGGTGGGGAGATTAGATGGTCTCAAAAGTGATACAGCTTTTGATGATTCAGGATGACCAGCCATGTGGCCTTTGTCATTCAAGACACCAATGGAGACATTTCCCTATGGAAACGGGGCTGCATGTCAGAAGTGGCCCACGTGTCTTCTTGTAGAGTGAGGCCAGTACAGGGAGAGGTGTGGGGGAAGGGCTGACGTTGCGGTTTGGGTTGTTTCAGGATGGGAGCCAGGAGCCGAGCCCTCAGAGGCAAGCTGCGAGCACAGCCATTCAGAAGCGTCAGACATGGCCACTGAGGCCCTTGTGGGGGGTGTTTCCCCAGGACACGCCTTTGGTGACACCTTTGAACCCCAAGGCAGCTCAGAGAAACTGTCAGGACTCTCGGGGGACGTCTGGACAAAGTCTGCCACCCGAGAAGCAGATTGCAGGCACACTCCAGAGCCTCACGAGGGTGCCCCCATGGACCAGCCCAGCTTTGAATCTGGTGCCTCTGGAAGCAGTCCCAGTGTGTGGCCAGACGTCACCTGGGAAGAGAAGACTCCTGAGGAGAAATTCGGTCCGTTGGCTGGTCCTGGGACAGAGCCTCCATGTGTGCACACGGGGAGGACATCTTCCAAGTGCAGAGAATGTGGGAAAATGTTCCAGAGCACCCGGGCCCTGGAGGCACACTGGAAGAGCCATTCCCGGAAGACACCCTACACCTGCAGTGAGTGCGGGAAAGCCTTCAGCCGGAGCACCCACCTGGCCCAGCACCAGGTCGTGCACACGGGGGCAAAGCCCCATGAGTGTAATGAGTGTGGCAAGGCCTTCAGCCGGGTCACCCACCTGACGCAGCATCAGCGCATCCACACAGGGGAGAAGCCCTACAGGTGCGGGGACTGTGGCAAAACCTTCAGCCGCAGCACCCACCTCACTCAGCACCAGCGGGTGCACACAGGTGAGCGGCCCTACACATGTGATGTGTGTGGCAAGGCCTTCAGCCAGAGTGCCCACCTGACACAGCACGTGCGCACCCACACAGGGGAGAAACCCTATAGGTGTGACCCTTGTGGGAGAGCCTTCAGCGATTGCTCAGCTCTGATCAGGCACCTGAGGGTCCACTCTGGGGAGAAGCCATACCAGTGCCAGATTTGTCCAAAGGCCTTTGCGCAGAGCTCCTCCCTCACCGAGCACCAGAGGGTCCACACAGGGGAGAAGCCCTACAAGTGCAGCAACTGTGGGAAGGCCTTCAGCCGCAGCTCCGCCCTCCTGGTGCACCTGCGCGTCCATATCACGGTGCTGCGGTGACCCACCAGGTGGCTCCCTTGGGCTCAGCATGGTAGAGAAACCCTGAATTCCAAAGGAGCCAGGGAAGATGGGATGGATCATTGATGACTCCCCCAGAATGATGAGTTCTTAAGGTCAGACCTAGGGCTGTCTGGGAGCAACTCTGCATTTGAGGACCCGGATGAATCCAGGTTCCAGAAGGATCCCACTGTCTTCCGTCCCTCTAGACACATCTCAGAGAAAGGACAGGTGAGCTGAGGAGCTGGATTTGTCCTCAGAGCCAGTAAGTTGGGTAGCATTTCTCTCAGGACTCAGGAGTCCCAGGATGGTCCTGGCTGGGTCTCCAGCTTCATGCTCCTGTTTCTCCCCTGCTTAGCCCATGTGGGACACTGCCCATGCCACCTCTGGGCCTTTGCACCGACTGTTCCACTGCAGTTATTCACATCCAACTCCCAGGCTGGCTTGCAAGTCTGCCTCTTCCATGAGGCATTCTCCAGACACCGTGTCATCCTCACTGAGGATGGTGCTGACACTTGCCTGGAGGCATTTGTCTGTGACTCTCCCCCTCCCACGTTCCACCAGACGTTGGCCCTTTTGGTTTTACCTGTACTCACCTGTACTTTGTTTTCTTCTCCATCGTCACCTTGTGTGAGCCCTCATCGCCTCTCATGGATTCCAGCAAGGGGCCCTTCCAGACCCCCTTCCTGCCTTCTTCACACCAGCCCCCAGCTGCTCATTCCACACCCTGAACCTGATCGTGTTCTCCATGGCAGAAAGCTCTCTAGTGCATCCCTTGTACAGCAGAGCTTCCTGAAAGGATTGCAGGTTTGCCAAGATGAGAGTTGCCTTGGGCCCCAAGCAACCTCGCCAGTTACCTTCACGTGTGTGTCTGAATGTGGTCAATTCTCTATGTGTCCCATGATATGAAATGGTTTCAAAGGACTGCTGTCTGGGAGGGACCTCAGACTCCTGCACCTGTCCATTCATGAGCATTTGTGATGTTGCCCCACTGGCCATATTGAACTACTAGCGGTTCTTGAAGAAGCCATACTTTTCCCCACCGATGTGCCTTCATACCTGTGCCCAGGACCCTTCTCTTCACTTTCCTCCAAGATGTTTCACATATCCTCCCCCTCCCCAACAAAGTGCCAGCCACCTCCTCAGGCTGACTTCAGCTCTCCCTTCTTGCTCTCAGAGCTCCAATAACGTAACCTCTCCCAAATTTCCTACCATGTGGTATTCGCTCCTTGCAGAATGTAGGGCCATGTTTTATTTTCTGATCCACCAGGTGTTACTACAGGACACAACAGGACAGGTCCTGACTCACATCTGGTTGCCACAACCCACATGGCGCTGTCCTTGTGTATGTTTTCTGGACTGTCTTGCACCACAGTGAGCCCTGCAAGGCAAGAACAACCTGACTTTTCACAGGACCCCAGCACTCACATGGGCCTGGCGCTCAATAAAATGTTACCACTCTGGCTCAGTAGATTGAGTGCCAACCTGCAAACCAAAAGGTCACTGGTTTGGTTTCTAGTCAGGGCACATACCTGGGTTGCAGGCCAGGTCCCCAGTTGGGGGTGAGCAAGAGGCAACCAATCAATGTATCTGTCACACATTGCTGTTTCCCTCTTTCTTCCTCCCTTCCCCTTTCTCTGAAAGTAAATAAAATCTTTAAGGAAAAAAAAAGATTCAGAATAATAAGGTGAGACCCAGGAAGACAGATCTGTCAGTGTCTCTGAGAGAGCCCCAGATACACCCAGACTCAGGCCAACTGCCTGCCACCCACATTGCAGCTGAGGCTGGCAGAAGAGGAAATGGCTAGACATAAGGAAAAACTCAGAGACAGGAGACGTGTGTTTCACATGGGCACAGGGAGTGGAGAAGGCATGGGCCTGAAGTCAGTGACCACCTTTGTGCAGCACCTGTCCCAGGGCCTGGCTCTGACTGTGACTTGCTCATTCATCTCCACCTCCCTCTACCCCAACTCTCCCAGTCTCTATCACCAAAGAATGGACTCCTCCTCCTGCTGACATTGGACATCTCGAGACCACTTTACATGTCTGCCCATGTCTGTCTAAAGCAGGAGGAGGTCAGGGGGGAAATGAATCCTTATTAAGGGTCTATGTGTGCTGGTCAGTCTGCCAAATAATTTATATATATCAACTGATTCAGTCCCCATACAACACTGAGGAGGGGACGATCACTCCCGTGTTACAGAGGCAGGGACGAGGGGGTCTGACCAAGTTTATACTGCCAGGAACTTGGAACACTCAGATTTGGGAGCATGTACAAATAATCAACATCAATGAGTGTTACAGTACTCAATAAACCAAGTAAGACAAACACATTGGATTTCTTTCAAGTCTAGGCATATTTTTTATTTTTTAATAAGTGTTTCCATTTTTAATCCTCACCCAGGGATATGCTCATTGGTTTTAGAGAGGAAGGGAAAGAGAGAAACATCCATCAGTTGCCTCTCATAAGCGCCCTAACGGGATCAAATCCACAACCTAGATATATGCCCTGCATGGGGGTCAAACCTGCAACCCTTTGGTGTGCAAGATGAGATGGTGTTCCAACCAACTGAGCCACCCAGCAACGGCGTGTTTATTTTGTTTTTCTAAACAATTTTAGAACATGTTTGTCCTCAGAAAAAAGAAACCCTCCACCCATTAACTGGCAGTCATTGTCCCTACCCTCTTCCCCAGCCCTAGGCAACAATGAGTCTATTTCTTGTCTCTATGGATTTGTCTATTCTGGACATTTCCCATAAATGAAATTATGTGTCCTTACGTGGCTGGCCCCTTAGCGCATATTTTTAAGGTGCATCCATGTGGTAGCATTTACTAACACTTCATTTGGATAGACCACATTTTGTTTATTATTCAACTGCTAATGGACACTGTGAGTAATGTTGCTGTGAAGGTTAGTGTACAGGTTTCTGTGTGGCTCTATATTTTCATTTCTCTTGGCTATACATGGAAGAGAGAATTGCTGAGTCATATGTTCTCTTAAATTTAACATGTTGAGGAACTGCCACATTGTTTTCCAAAGCAGCTGCACAATTTTACATTCCCACCAACAGTGTAGCAGGGTTCCAGCTTCTCCATATCCTTACCAACTCTTGATATTGTCTGTCTTTTTAATTTGAGTTTTTGAAACTTATTTTTAGAGATGGAAATGGAGGGAGAGAAACATCGATTGGTTGCCTCTCACATGCCCCCAGGAGGGGAACCGGCCCACAACCCAGGCATGTGCTCTTACCAGGGACTGAGCCAGCAACCTTTTGGTTCACAGGCCAGCACCCAATCCATTGAGCCACACCAGACAGGGTTGTCTTTTTTATTTTAACCTCCCCAGTTCAAGTGAAGTGGTATCTCATGGTTTTGATTTTGACTTGATTTTTTTAAAGATTTTATTTTTAGAGAGGGGAGGAGGGAAGGAGAGAGAGTACAAGAGAGACATCAATGTGTGGCTGTCTCTCACGTACCCCCTACTGGGGACCTAGCCCACAACCCAGGCATGTGCCCTAAGTGGGAATTGAACCGGTGACCCTTTGGTTTGCAGGGTGCCACTCAGTCCACTGAGCCACAGCAGCCAGGACAGAAGGGCATACTTAAAACAAGGACACGGGAAAGCTGAGGGTAAATGAATATAGAAGGATGTACAAGGTAGGCAGGAAACTGAAGGAAACCAATGGAGCTGTATTAATTTCAGACATTAACAAGCTATGTGTTTAAACTTGTAGAATTGCACACACAAACATATAAACTAAATGGATATAGAGATGTTGATTATGTCATGGTTACATTTGTCAGACACCATCAAACACTTGAAAGATATTGTGTGTAAATAAAACCTTAAGTTGATTTTTACAGAATAGGCTTGTATCTGTTTAAATCATAGGAAATTGTGTGTTAAAAAATCAAGTACCAGTAATTTCATGTTGTTCAGTGTAATTAAATTGCCAATATTTGATACTCTTTATCCACAAAGAAGTAATTTCCTATGATTTAAACTAATACAACCCATTTTTTTTTTTAAGATTTTATTTTCAGAAAGAGGGGAAGGGAGGGAGAAAGGGAGAGAAATACTGATATGTGGTTCCCTCTCATACACCCCCAACTGGGGACCTGGTCTGCAACCCAGGCATGTGCCCCGACGGGAAATTGAACTGGCAACCCTTTGGTTCACAGGCTGGCACTCAGTCCACTGAGCCACACCAGCCAGGGCAACTAATAGAAACCTATTTTTAACAGCCTAATAGGAAGCTGTTACTGATGTTTTTCCCCCAAAATCAATGATAAAAATTTCACCTGAAGAAAGTAATAAAGAACAAATTAATTCGGAAGTAGGTAAAAGAAGAAAATGCTAATGACACAAGTAGAGAGCAAACAGAAAAGAGACAATTTTTTTAAAAATTAACAAAGCCAAGTTTGTTTTTTGAAAAGATTACTAAAATTTGATAAACCCCCAGCCAAACTGGCAGAGAGATGGGAGAAGGGTTGGGGTAGGGTAGAAGAGAAAACATCAGGCACAAAAGAGGTGACATTGTTATAGACCCTACAGTCGTTCAAAGAATACAGGAATAGGTAAATCACCCCTGGCTGGTGTGGCTCAGTAGATTGAGTGCTGGCCTGCAGACCAAAAGGTTGTGGGTTTGATTCCCAGTCAGGGCATGTGCCTGGGTTGCAGGCCAGGTCCCCATTTGGGGGCCTAAGAAAGGCAACTGATCGCTGTTTCTCTTCCTCTCTTTTCCCTTCTCTTTAAAAACTAATAAAATCTTTAAAAAAGAAAAAAAAAACAATGCACAAATATGTAAATCAGACCACAGATGAAAAAGGCAAATTCCTTGAAAATGCAGCTTATCAAGTATTAGTTGATAACATGAATATACACCCACTGTATGTCAGTACCTGGAGAGCCAAACTCCAGGTAGGGCTGGGCAGGGATTCAGGAGGGTGTTGAGTAACGGGGGCTCAGATCCAAGGGAGAGCAGAGAACAGAGAGTCGTCCCGCCCCCTCACAGCTTCAGGCTCCCACGTGGGACACCTGGCCTTTGGCTGGGGACACAGTCCAGCATCACGACCTGGTGGCCACTCAGACCAGAGGACAGAACTATAAAATGCAGCCTCCTTTGAACTGCCTCCAGGTGTGGGGACTGATTTGGTCAAGATAGGTGTGGGGTTAGGTGTGTCTGGAGCCTCAAGCTACCCGCCCACACGGGCTGGAACCCTGCAGCCTAGAGAGAGAGATTTCTTGGTGGAAGAAAAGAGTCTTGAAAAAGGTGGGTCCTTAGCCCCTCTGCCCTGAGGACCTAACCCAGGGCCCATCCACCTTCAGGACACATGATCCCAGCCCACTTCCCTCTGTCCTGGGCATTCAGCCCCTACAGCAGCAAAAGACGTGTTATAAAGTCTGTGGTCACGTTTATTAATTCCTTGGAGAAATCAGGGAGCGCCCCCTGTCCCCACTGCACTCCCCAGGTCGGGGGGCGTCCAGCCTCCAGCTGCAGCAGGAAGGATCCGAGCCGGACTGAACCAGGATACCCGCAGCAGCCTGGGTCTGCAGTTGGATCAATGTCCTAGACAAATTTGACAAGAGAAATGGCAGGGGAGGGAAGCACCCTGTGTGCAATCAGACCCCGCAGTAAGGAAGCGGCTTAGTCAGCTGCCAGGCCTCCCCCCACCCCACGCCTCCAGCTGACAGAGCCACTCGCCCTGGGGCGTTTCCACATGTTGTTTCCCTGCCTGCCATTTTCCACCAACCCCGGCAGAGGCTAGGCACACTAGCCAATGTGCTGGGAACAGGCATGAGGAAGGATACTCCCGGCAGAGGGCACAGTCTGGGCAAAGGCGGGGATGGGGCAGGGGGTGGCTGGGGAAGAACCTAGGGTTCAGGCCCTGGGGGAACCTCACCTGCCACCTGGAGCTCCACTGGATCACTGAGGTCAGACACAAAGGGCCTGCTGGAGTAGCGGCATCTGTAATTGCCAGCATGTTGGGGCCCAACATAGGTGAGCACAAGGTCCTCTGAGGAGTAACTTGTAGCCACCACTTCGCCTTCTTGCAGCAGCTCAAAGGTGATGTGGGGCACGCGTCTCAAGGGGATCTCGCAGCGCAGGATGGCGTCACGGCCTGGACTCACTGCTCCGCTCCACAGGGGCCGGAGCTGCGGCTTGGGGAGGGGTCCTGGGCACAGCAGAGGGTCAGACCAGTTACTCCCTCACCTCCAGCCGCAGCTGCCCCCGAATCCCTCTGCTGCCCTCCTCTCGCTTAAGCCCAGGCCCACTGGCCTCTGGCCTCCACACCTTTCTTGGCCCGGGATGGAAACAGCTGCCCTCACACCCTGAATACTGCACAGTTCCTGTTCACTGCCACCATCTGTGTCCTGCTTCGCCCCATTCCCCTGGACCCTACCCGTCCCCTAGAGTTGGGCCCTGAACTGAAGCTTCTTGGGGTCCCCACATGTGAGGGCCCGGGGGGAGGGGAAGGAATATGTGACCAAGGGAAATGGTGTTCCCTGCAAAGCCTAGCGCACAGCCCAGCCCAAGGTCAGGAGGCAGGACCTGCGTGCCAGTGGCCTCTGCCCCGTGGAGGCCTTGATGAGGAAATCAGAGGAACAGACCCCAGGGACCGCGAAGACTTGGAGGATTACACATTAACCCTCCTCCCTTGGGGACAGGGGCACAGGCAGGTGTAGGACTAATAATAAGACAACACAGGGAAACTGAGGCGCAGGAGGGCGCTAACCCGCCAGGGATTTCAGCAGCAGAAGCGCTCACGTCCCAGGTAAATAAGTCAAATGTGAGGCTCCCCCAGGACTTCGACGTTTTTTCCGTAAGGATTTCCACGCCGCATTTCCGTAAAAAATCGTCTCTGTGGTCAGTACCGAGGCCGAGAGGGCAAGGCCTTGGCACCAAGGCAAGGCAGGCACCTCACTGTGCCCCGGGACGGAGGGGGCCCGCCCGCTCACCGTTCAGGCTCAGCTCCAGGCGCGGGCTGGGCGCGGAGCCCGCGAAGGGCGGCGCAGTGTCTGCGTAGATGCAGCTGTAGTTGGACCCGTCCAACGGTGAGAGGTCGACCAGTTCGACTACGGCCTCGGAGCCCGCGGGGCTCTGGAGATCAACCACCTGGCGCCTATAGCTGTCCTCGCGCACCAGGGCGAAGCGCAGGCCGTCCCGGGGCGCGCGGCACCGCATCTGCACCATCGCGTGGGGCGCGTTGAACGGGGTGGCCGACGCCGCGGAAAGCTCGGGTGCGGGCAGAGTCTCTGAGGGGGGAACGCGGGTGACCGAAGCGCCGAGAGACTGATCCACCCAGCCCCCTCCGCCCCCTCTAGGACGCCCTCCCGAACTACCCCACCCCAAAAACCGCATCTCCCTCCGTCCCCCGCCCTGCAGGACCTTCTGCACACTTCCTTGTTAATTTCTTTGACCCCCAAGAACAGGTGGGCCCAGGGGGTCATGTTTTGTCATGGTGCCCGCGGCGTCCCCCGCCTCCCTGTCCCCCTTCCCCACTGCTGGCCAGGATCCTCTCCTGGGTTGACACGCCACGTCCGGGTTCTGGACAGGTCCTGTGGCCCAAGTCCGCCGCCCTCTACAAGCAGGTCTCGCGCCCACCTTCCCCCCCATAAGCTGGGGGTCCCCGGATACTTGACGTCCACATGGCCTGCATCACACTTGAGTGTTGACCCAATTAGTTTTTGTGGGACCTTGAAGTTGCTGTGCTCATTGTCTCACTCTCAACTGGGGAAACTGAGGCCGGGTGCATTAATAGGGACTCCAGTCCCAGAACCTTCCGTGGGCGTCTCCCTTGTTCCCCTGGGGCGCAGCACCAAGCTCACCATCGCTGAGCAGCAGCTCCACGGGCGCACTGTCCTGGGACCAGGGCATGTCCTCCCCATGCAGGTGGTAGCGGCAGGTGTAGAGGCCACCGTCCCCCGGGGCCAGTGAGTCCAGCTTAAAGACAACGCGGTCCGGGTTGGTGCTCCACCTCTCTACGTTCAGCACCTTGTCTCCGTGCCGGAGCTCGAACTCCATGCCGCTGTCCAAGGGCCCCACGCAGACGAGGGACGTTTTGGCGCCCACGCGCAGGACCTCCGCAGACTCTCCGTGGACACTCAGCCTGGGCGGCGGCGGTGAGGCTACAAGGCAGGGCGAATAGCTGGGGTGGTGGAGTCCTGGCCACCCTGTTCCCTGAGAAAGCCCAGCCTCCAGCCCTGTTGCAACCCCGGGGCCTCCCCACCGCGCAACAGCATCACAGCAGCGCCCTGCTCAGGCCTGCTGTGGCCCAGGTAACTATTTCCCAGGCTCAGTCCAAGCAGGGGTATTCCGGGTTGGAGGTTGAGGTAAAGCAGCTCTATCCTCCAGGAACCTCCTCGCCCAGGAAGCCCACCTGTTGGTCCACATACTCACCCAGCTCCTGGATGGTCACGGTGGCACTGGGCTCAGAGGGAGTGCCTGCTGCGTGGGTCCGGTAGCTGCAGCTGTAGTTGCCAGCCTGGTGGACTGGGAAGGTGGCCTCCACACCCTGAGGGGCCTCAGCCACCTCCTGAAACTGGTCATCGCCTTTGCGCCTCAGCAGGAAGGTCACACCTCGAAGCCCCCCTTGGCACAGCAGGGTCGTTTTCAGGCCGGGCGTGACCCAGGGCACCGGCTTACTGGAGAGCTGGGGTGGAGGCAGGGTCTCTGCAGGCGGGGCAGGGTGGGTGGTTCTGCATGACCCGGGGGGACACAGCGGCCCAGCAGGACCTGGACCACCACCCTCGAGAAAATGCGAGGGAGCCAGGGCGAGGGACAGGGACATAAAACCAGAGGAGGTGTTATGGGCCCTACTGTGTGCCAGGCCTGCCCTAAGCACTTTCTAGGAATCCTGTCATTTACTCCTCACAACCTTCTGGGGTCCTTATGAAACTCACTCTCACTTTGTAAAAAAATTTTCCCATTCATTTCTAAGAGAGGGGAAGGAAGGGAGAAAGAGAGGCAGAGGAGCATCAGTCGGTTGCCTCTCACATGGCTCCAACCGGGGACCTGGCCCACAACCCAGGCACAAGCCCGGACTGGGAACAGAACCAGCGACCTTTCGGTTTGCAGGCTGGCGCTCAACCCACTAAGCCACACCAGCCAGCACTCACTCTTACTTTATAGATGGGAAAACTGGGGCTCAGCGATGTCAGATGACTTGCCCAGTCACCGAGCCTCTCAGGGCGGAAGAGGAGGACAAGGAGAGTGAGGAGTGGAGGAAGGGAGGCCTCTCCAGCATGACCCCGTCCTCATTGCTCACCTGCGCCCGTCACCTCCACCAGGTTGCTCAGCTCGGTCCATGTCTTGCCAATAGCACAGCGGCAGCGGTAGAGGCCTCGGGTGTCAGCTGTCACTGCTCCTAGCGGGAACCGGTGCTCCATAGTGATTCCATCAAGGTGCACATGTTCCTGGACCACCCCGTCCTTGAACAGCTGCAAACCCGAGGTGGGCAGGCGGGCCTGGCACGTCAACGTCACGTTGGCCCAGGGTTCCAGCAGCGATTCGGCCTCTGCCCACAGGTTCGGCCGGGTCTCAACAACTGCGTGGGGACAGGGCTCAGAGCCAGACACCAGGACATGGGCCCCCACCATGTGCGCCCACCACGACCAGAGCGTGCATGTGCGCACCCACCATCCCCAAGTCCCACATGCACCCAACGTCTTCAGGTCCCAAGTGCCCCCACCACCAGGAGACCAGCCCCGAGCCACCGTCCCAGACCAGGCCCTCACTCACAGATGGCTGCTTCTGCCACTGGGCTCAGGGAGAGACCTGCAGAGACACGTCTATGAAGCCCCCATTCCTGCCCCTGCCTGCCCTCCCTCCGCAGGGGACCCAGGCCCAGATGCCTCACCCCAGAGCAGCAGGAAGGTCACCGGCACGGACATGGCGGTAAGCCTCGCCCCAGCCCCGTGAGCGTCTGAGGTTAAAAAGCCCCAGCGAGGGCAGCGAGTGGAGGAGGACACTGACCTCTTCTGGATGTTTGTCCTTCCCCAAGGCCAGGAGGAGGAGCGGTGCCCGTAGAGGGTGTTGACTACAGGGAAGCCCTGCAGCCACAGGAGGCTCAGCAATAAGTGTGCACAAAACGGACTGTCATGGACACAGACAACAGAATGCTGACTGCTGGAGGGAAGGAGGTATAAGGGGACCAAACGGTAATGGAAAAAAATATGTGATAAAGATCAGCCCTGGCTGGCGTGGCTCAGCGGATTGAATGCTGGTCTGCGAACCAAAGGGTCGCAGATGTGATTCCCAAGCAGGGCACCCACCTGGGCTGCGGGCCAGGCCCCCAGCGGGGGGCGTGGGAGAGGCAACCACACAGGGATGTTTCTCTCCCTCTCTTTCTCCCTCCCTTCCCCTCTCTCAACAAATAAAATAAAAATCTTAAAAAAAAAAAAAAAAAAAAAGAACCCATGGGTAAGAATGAGAATTTCCCCTCCGTTCTTGTTACTGCCAGAAGAAAGATGGGTCTGCCCAGCGCAGCCTCTGGGATACGAGTACACGAAGCACAGGAAATCGCCCCCTCGCTGAGCACCGGGGCTCAGGGTCCTCTCCTCACTCTGTGTTCCCTTTTCTGTGGAAGGCACGTGTTCTTTTACCAAACGTTCCGGAACCTGAGTGAATCTCCTGCAGTTCCTCGATGCAACGCTTCCTGACCCACGGTCGCTTTCCCATCGGTTTTGCAGATTCCTAACAAGCAGTTCCCTGGCGTCACCCGGACGCCCGAAATAACTTGACCAGGATCTAAAAGAAGTCAGAAGCGTTTAACCAAGACTCTCCACATGTTTTCTGCAAGGACATTTCAGAGCAGTTGCATGTGGTTCTTTTCAGGACGCTCCTGCCGACCATGTCGGAAAGGTTACTTTGCAACTGGGCATCACAACCCCAGTGGCAGAAACGCATCAATGGTCAGCGCTTGGGGGCAAATGCCTCTGAGTGGCACTTGGACAAATTGGACTGATTAAAGGCGGAAATGTAGAGGGGGACACGTGTCGCAGATCGTGGTGGGCCACAGAAGCGGTTCGGCGGTCACTACCACACTCAGGAGGCTACTCTTTCATGTGGGGGCGAAGTGTCACTTCCGGTTTCTCAAACAGCCCTCACTGCAGCCACACACATGATAATTGCACAACCCTCCTGTTCCCTCCGGGCCTGGGGACACTGACCTTCAACCCGGGGCAGGCGAGGCCACATCTCCCTCAAAGCCACTCAGGATCTGGGTTGAGGGAGCCTTTCTGGAGCCATGTCCGGTCCCATGAGAGCATGAATCCTTGCTGGCTCAGGGCTTATTCCTTGGAAATCCAACATCTCCCCCTGTGGCCATGGCCACTTAGTGCCTCGGTTTCTCCACCTGACAAATTAGGCAGCCGGAGCACCAGCCCCAAGGAGCGGGATGCTCGGAATCCCTAGAATGAGGGACTTCTCCAAGCAAGTATGAGAACACCTGCGTGACGCTGGCCAGCAGTGTGCTAGAGCCCAGTGCCAGACCGTCCACGGGGCCCGCGCAGAGGGACCCGTTAGCATGTGAGCCAGTGGGAGGATATGAGTGAGAAGCAGCTTTTTCCCCAAACATCGTGCTTTTTTGTGTATTCTCACCCAAGGGCATGCTTATTGATTTTAGTGAGAGGAGAAAGGAGGGGGATAAACATCAACGTGAGAGAGAAACATGATTGACGTTTTGCCTCTCGTACGCAGCCTGACCAGGTACCAAACCCCCACAACCCAGGCACGTGCCCTGACCAGGAATCGAACCAGCAGCCTTTCAGCTTATGGGACGATGCTCCAAACACCTGAGTCACACTGGTCAGGGCCCAAACATTCGGAATGTGAGTCCAAGAGCATTCTTTCCAGGTGGGAAGTGAGCCACCTGCTCTCCTAGCCTGTTATTGTGTTTCTGCCTGCCATGCTGACTGTGCAGCTTCCCAAGAACAGGAGTGGGGACAAAGGCAGACTGGGGAGCAAGCAGTTGTGGGCCCCACCTGCCCAGCAGCACTGACAATCCCTAGCAGAGATGGATCTGAATCGATCCTGCAATGGGAACCACGCCCAGGGCTGATGGGGCTGAGGGAGGGGCTGTCTCTAGAATGTGGACCCTGCCGCTGCAATTCTACTCCTAGCCAGAGAAAGGAAAACGGGCATTCTAACAAAAATTTGCATGCAAATGTTCACAGCTGCATTTTTCATGAGGTGGAAACAATCCAAACGTCCATCAACGAATGGATGGATAAACAACACGTGGTCTTATCTACACGATGGAATATTACTTTACAATAAAAAAGAATAGAGCCCTGATAAATGGTTGGATCTCAGAAAACACTATGCTCAGTGAGAGAAACGAGACACAAAAATGAAAAACTTTATGTGAGAAATCTACAATAGGCAAATTCATATAGACAAGTAGATGAGTGGTTTCCAGGGTCTGAGGGGAAGAAAAACGGGGAGCAATTGTGTCATGAAGATGGAATTTTATCTGGGAGTGCTGGGGAAGTCCTAGAGTTGGACAATGGTGATAGTGGTACACATAGTGAATATGTTCAAAATTTTAAAATATACTAAAAACCAAACTGAACTATTTAAAATAGTGCACTTCCCCTGGCTGGTGTGGCTCAGTGGATTGAGTGCCGGCCTGCAAACTGAAGTGTTGCTGGTTTGATTCCCAGTCAGGACACGTGCCTGGGTTGCAGGCCAGGTCCCCAGTTGGGGGCGTATGAGACGCAATCACACGCTGATGTTTCTCTTCCTCTCTTTCTCCCTCTCTTCTCCTCTGTCTAAAAAAAATAAATAAAATCTTTAAAAGAGAGAGAGAGAGAGAGGCAGCATGTTGGCACATGGTGCATAACACCTCACAGTGTCCCAGGCCCCAGGTCATGGCTGGCACTGGAGTACAGAGGGGAGGACAAGGCCCAGGCAGGACAAGGAGCGCAGGCACCCGTGCCCCAGTCTGTGTGGCCGGAGAGCCCTGCCCTCTGCACCCAGGTTACCCGCTGACCCCCCATCACCACCCACACAGTACAGGGACGCTGCCAGCCTGAGATCTGAGGTCCCCACACAGGGAAATGGGCTCTCCAGCCATGGCCACTGATGCGGGGACCCTGTCACCTCCTTCCGCCTTGTTTAACTGCAACCCCAGGGAGAATGCCGGCCCCTCAGACAAAGGATGCTGAGCAAGAAGAGGGCCGGTGCCCACCTCTCTCTGTATCACCCCTACGAAGCACCAAGGCTTCTATAATCGTGCACCCTGCAGCCCCCCGACAGTGGGGTCCAGATCCCTCTGTCAGGACACCAGGTCACTGTGCTCCAGGTGTGAGGGACAGGAGGACCTGGGCTCATGCCATGATCCTGTCTCAGGGCTTCCAGTGAATTCTGCGTCATGGCGGCTGGCCTTATGTCCTGGTTTGCTCAACAGCTGGCAGCCAGATCAGGGATCCAGGCCAGCACCCAGCATGACCTCCTGAACCCCCAGAGGTGTGGAGGCCAGGGACCTACCGGGGTGGGAGCAAACGCCTGGGGCAGCCTTGCCTGGTCCCCTGAAGGAGGCTGTAATAATTGAATGGTGGCCTCGCTGCCAAAAGATGCATTCACACCGTAATGCCCAGAACTTGTGCATGAGACCTTATTTGTGGAAAGGATACTTGCAGATGGAGGTAAGGAGGTTGAGATGAGATCATCCCGAATTCCCTGGGTGGGCCCTAAGTCCAATGACAGGACCCTTATAAAAGGGAAGCAGAGAGAGGAGAGGAAGAGGCCAAGACTGGAGTGAAGCAACCGAGGGCACCAGAAGCTTGGGCAGGTGCACGGGTCAGCGTCTGCCTCGGAGCCTTCCAAGACCATCACCTCGACTGCAGAGCTGAGACAGCAAACATTTCTGTTGTTTTAAGCCGCCCGGTTGGTAGTAGCCTGTTAGAGCAGGCCCACGAAACTGATGCAGAGACAGCCACCCTCGATGGGATGAGCGGGTTGCCAGGGGGCCTCCTGATCTCTGGTGATACAGCGTCAGATGCCTAGAGTGAGGGTCGGGGAAGACTGGGTGGTCCCAGGAAGCAGCAGCAGCTCCCCCCTGGCAGGAAGAGACCCCGAACTCACAGGAGATGGGGGCTGAGGCTTACCTGGTAGCCATGTGCTCAGGGCATATCCAGGAGAACTGTTCCCAGACACCCGCTCCCACGGTGGCTCCGGTGCCCCATCTGCTGCAGCTAAACCTGCCTCCCAGCACAAGACGCAGCAGACGGAAGCTGCAGCGAATGAATGACGGTGTCTCTTCCTCTCCTGCCCTGCTCCCAGCCTGTACTGTCACACTACCTACCTGTACCTGGATGACCTTCCAACCGTGGACCTGGGATCAGAGGCCCCTGAGGGACTGTTCCTGACCCCACACTGCCGCTGGCCCAGGCGTTCAGACAGTGACCTCTCATCTGCCCTGCACCCTGAGCACTCGCCCGGGCTTTCTAAGTGTCTCAGGGCTGCTGCTGGGTGAAAACAGGACACGGAGCAGCCACGTTCGGGCGCGTAGTGGGCGCTGAGTCCTGCAGAACCACATGGGGAAGTGGTTCGTGAGGCTGGAACACCAAAGAGCGGGGCCCGTCGAGGCCCGTAAGAGGGTGTTCGTGGAGATTAGTGCCCCCATCAGGGGTGCCCTCACCGGGTCTGCTGGGAGTTCCGGCCGCGCTCCCGGTTGTCATGGCAACTGAGGCAGTTGCCCAATAGTCGATGCTCAGACCTGAGTTGTGGCCAAGGAAATGGCGCCCTTAACAAAGCAGGAAGCCAGCTCACTCCTAGCCCTTAAAAACGAGTGATTGGCTATTACTGTGACTGATGGCCTTTGCTCCCATTCAGACTTCTGGAAGGTCTGGACCTAGAAACGAGCGGCTGTTCCCAGCCTCGCGGGGGTGAAATTTCCCAGCGAGCGAGCTCCTGGCCATACCGCTGGGAGTGGAACTCGAGCGTCTGGGTGTCCAAGCTCCACAGTCGATTCTAATATGTGC